TAGCTCAACAAACTAATGTTTTTTGAAGACAAAGACTGAAGCTATGCATTGCTATCAGTTTTCTTATTTATTCTATAAATTGAACTATTAAAAAAAACTTTCACCAATGGCTACATAATCAGTAGGTTACAGAGGCAGCTGCATGGTCTGGTAAAATATAATAAGCCATGCATTGCTATAGCAGAAAATTTTAACAGGCAGCAGTTTCTAACACCAGTTTGTAATTCCATAAAATGCAATCACACCACAGGCATTAATGGTTTTAATTGAACCAATTATGCTCTAAGAGGTAAAAGACTAAAAATACATACCAAATTATACCAAGTCTTTAGTCTAAATAACACTTGAGACTTAACAAAATACTTGTGGGCAAACATATCACAGATGGTCAAACAATGTAGCACAGCAATACTCTACACAAACACTATCACTTAGGGATTTTTTTTTGTTTGCTTTTTTGAAGCAAATTCTTATTTAGAGATCTGAAAAATGTATGTTTTGGTCAAGGCTGAGCAGTTCACTATACAGATGCTAATTTCCCTTCATCCCAAAGAAGATACTCCTTCCTTGACTCAGGATCAGATTCAGGCATTCATCAAAAGAAAAAAAAAGTTACAGATTTCTATTTTCCCCATGAACACCATTTGCAACATGCTCAGGAATGACAAAGTATTGAAAAGGTAATGTGACCAAAAGTTTTTCTTCCTCCTAGTCACTCATTTAACAATGTCAGTTCATCCTCCACACTTAGGGCATCATTAGGTCCTACCAGCACATTTTAGGCATTACTTCTCTAGAGAAACCCTTTGTTCCTATCAAAGCACTCATTCAGCATTTCTTGTGGCTTTATGAAAGAGAGGGAATACAGTCAGATGTCTAAAGCACAAAGTTACACTTTCCAAGAGGTAAAGGGGACAGGACTTCAAAGCAAGAGGAACATTTTCACAACTTGAGGCAACATCACAATTCATTTCATCGTGGATCTGGCAATTCTCAAGGTGAATCAGGATAATCATATTACACTGCAGAACCCAGTCTGATGTGGCTCAAGCCTGTCTGTCCTTCAGCAAACCATTCCCTCCAAGAGAAACAAAAAACAAAAAAAAGCACAAAGATCTCAGTATCAGCTACACTGCTGTGCATACCTGGTCACCATCCTGTGGGTGAAGGAGCACAGGGCAGGGCAGGAGAGGCAGGTGTGACCCCCAGCAAGGCATTGATGAGCAGGAACAACTAGAGCCTCTCCAAAACACAGCTTTTTATTTTCTGGTCTGTATACCTATGGCACACAGGTAGGGCCTCAGAGATGGGTTTCCTCAGAAGAGATGTGAAACAGCTAACTTGAGGAGGCATGGGCTGCTCATATCCGCTCAGTTTTTAGCTGTCTTCAGGTACAGATAGCTGAGAGTACCTAAAGAAAATAATGAGCTAGGCTGCAATCCAAGGGAAACAGGGAAAGCAGACCAGAAGCAACAAGGTTGCATCAAGTTACAGTATTAAAAAAGAAATTTCCACAATTTAGGTAGCCAAACACAGGGAGAGGCTGCCCAAAGAGGCTGAGGAAACATTCTCAGAGACCCAGCAAGGGCCTGAGCAGCCCAACCCAACAGCAGAAATGGTCAGTCTGAGAGTGTGAGAATAGCCAAGACACCTGTGCAGTCACAGCTCCAAAGTTCTCTACTAACAATCACCTGGCCATGCCAATACCCTGCCACAGATAAGGGAGCAGATAGACCCAAGCCCAAAGGGCAACTCAGCAACTTGCTGATGTCTCTGCCAAGATTAAACACCAAGTCTTTTATTTCTCAACACTTCTACAAAATAACTTTCACTGAGCAAGATAAAGGCAGGACTGTTTCACATCTTACTGCACAAGGCATAATATAATGATGTTCACCAACAAGTGTTTAAAAGCTTTGTTTCTCAAGCATCCTTAATCCTCTATCAAAAGCCCCAGTTTTTATTTCTTTAGGCAATACACAGTATGATAACTATAAGCTGTAAAATTTCCATGACTCCATGATGATTTGGTTTAATATTAAGTAAGGTCAATATCATTGCAAACTCTAAGAAGAGGTTCAGACTACTACAGGAAATGCATCCACATATATTGTATTTGATAATTTGTATTTGATTCTATTTTTTCCCAAAGCTTCCTAATCCAAGCAAGTAAAATATTTCTAGTGCTACAGAGTGCCAGGCATCCAATCTGCCTCCCATTCCCTTTATCAGGAAAAACTCAACCACCTGAACTGAGAGACTGCACGTAATTTTTTCTGTCTAAACTATTCAAGTGCCAAAAAACAAATTTCACCAGGCAGGGGTATCCAGAGCAAAGTTAGATAAAGTCAGACAACAGCAACAGAAGGAATAATAAACAGATTGTCACTGGTTCGGCAGTTGAGTGGCATCATTTCTACCCAGTTTTCCTACTCTACAAAACTAAATTAATTGCTAATTTAGTCCTTCTGTCCTACCTATGATGAGGCTATGGCAAACAGCTGACATGCAATCAACTCTTAACCCACAGATTTGCTTAACAGCCATATTCCTGGCAGCTTTATCACAGCCTTTTCCTGCACCACTATGGTGCGGACAACCAGATCCACCGAGTTATTTAATGAGTCCCAAACCACAGCCATGGGTCATACAACCACCAGTTAAATGCATCAGGATCCTTCAGCCTGGAACAAGGATCCCATAGTTCCACACTGCTAAGGATTCCTGACACACTGCACACAGTTGTGCAGGGCTGTTCACCACCTCTCCCAGCAAAGGAACTGGGCATAAAGTAAGCAAATCCCATTTACTGGAGGCACTAAAGAACTGATTCTTCACACAAACAGCATTAAGGCTGCAAAACTCCTTTCTCCCGGGCACTCTTGACAAAACACACCCAAAGCCTTTAAATACAGACTGAATCACAATTCATAGAAACCACAATGTGCACTGCAGACACTAACAGGCATTTCCCTGCGCTTACAGCTTCTCCTCCCTGGCACTCTCCACCATCCACAGGATGAGCTGCTTCTTTGGGCTTAGAATAAATCATCCAGTTTATCACAGATTGCCACAAAATTAACTTCAAAGAATAAAGGAAAACTTAACAGGATACATGCTACCATGGTAATTCTACAGCAAGTGACGAGAAAGTGACGAGAAAGTGACGAGAAAGTGACGAGAAAGTGACGAGACCATCTGAAGCTCTCTGCTCCAGATGCACAAAACCTGAGGACAGAAAAGTTTTGCAAACTCAATATACTCAGTACAGTCACACCATCCTCAGAAATACAAACAGCACCATCCACAATATGAGTGTTTTGATGGCAGGCACATTCAAGGAGCCCAAATGCTTTAATGAATACTTTTATTAAGAATAAGATCATTTATTAATTCCTACACCCTGACTCCCTACTGTAAAAATTAGGTGTTTTACAGCAGTACATGTATGGCCAGGAGCTTGTCAGGAACCACTATATAAAACTCTCAGTTGTTCTGTCATTAAGAGATTAGTCTGAGAAAATGCTCTGCAAGTCAGACTAATAGTTTACTCAATCCTTAATCCTATTTTACAAGATCCAGACTTACCACTATTCAATACCAGAACGCAACAGGACACCTGGTAATGTTAAACTATGTAGATTATAGGAACAGAAAAAAAAAACCCAAAAAAACCAAAGACTGAAAAATAATAAAAAAATATATATATTCCTTCTTACATCCCTCACACACAGAGTTTTCCAGACTTCTGGGACACAGGGCATTAGTCAGTACTACAATTATTTTGATTGCCAGAGGACCACTAGTGAAACACAACATAAACGTGCAACATAAAAGCTCCCAATGACTGTGTTCAATCAGGGGGTGAGGTTTGCAGCAGATTTTCCAGGCCAGCAGCCCGGCTCTGCAGGATGCAGGCCTCCTCCTACCCAGGCTGCTACTAGCAAACTCTCACCCAGGCCCTGGACAGAGGGTTGGTGTCACAGCTCCCAGCGAGAGGCACAGAAAAAGGGATGCTCAGCCCAGCAACCTGGCACCAACCTAACGCACATTCTGCTACTTCATGCATTGCAGGTCCGCCGAACAGCTGAGCTGGCGGTTCAGGGACACCTCAAAACATGCGCCTGCAGGAAAATTCTCCGGAGAGACGAGATTCAGTAGCAGTTTATTTACAGATTATTGCAGCTAAACTCTTTTTGGTGATAGCAGCTCAGTGCATCACCCTCAATCCTGATTGCATCCAGCTCTGGGATCCCCACACAGGAAGGGCACTGACCTTTTGGAACGAGTCCAGAGGAGGCCACCAAGCTGATGAAGCATTTCTCCCATGAGAAAAGGCTGAGAGAACTGGGATTGTGCAGCCAGTGAAAGAAAAGGCTTAGGGGTGACCTAATGGCACCCTTACAGTACCTGAAGGGAGCTTACAGGAAAGATGGGGCTAAACTATTTGCATGCAGTGACAGGTCAAGGTGAGACAGGTTCATGCAAGGAGTAGGTTCAGATTAGATATTAGGAAAAACTTCTTTATTGTAAGAGTGGTGGGGCATTGGATCAGGTTAACCAGTGAACTTGTGGTTGTCCCATCCCTGGAAGAGTTCAAACCCAGGCTGGACGCAGCTCTAAGCAACCTGAACAAGCGATGGGTGTTCCTGCCCACGGCAGGACGACTGCAACCAGATGATCTTCAAGGTCCCTTCCAACCCCAACCCTTCTGTGACTCGGTGATTCTCGCAAGCTGTCCCGGCTGCGCCCCACGGGCCCGGCTGGCCCGGGCACCGCCTCCCCTTCCCCCCCGGCCGCTCTGGCAGGGCCCGCGGGCGCAGCGCCGGGTCCGAACGGGCCGGCCCGGCCCCAACAGGCCGGCGGGGATGTCCGCGGGCCGAGCCTCCCTGCAGCGCCCCGGCCCGGGAGGCCTCGCCGAGCCCCGGCCGCGGATCCGCCGGAAGGGAAGCGGAAGGGAAGCGGAGCCGCCCCGGCCGAGGGGAGGGGAGAGCGGTGAGGGGGAGGGGACACGGCGAGGCCCGGCGCCCCCGGAGGCGGCCGCTCCGCGCTGCCGTACCTGCGCTGGAAGTCGGTCCGGAAGGGCTCCAGGTAAGGGTCCCGCTCCAGCAGCTGCTTCAGCCTGGGCGGCTCCCTGCTGGCGGCGGCCATGTCGCCGCCGCGGGCTCCGCGTGATCCGCGGCGCCGCTAAATACAGCCGGGGAGGGGGCCGGGCGGGCGGCCGGGAGCCCCTGCCTCTCCCCGCCCACCGCCCGGGGCCGCCCCCGCCGCCTCTCCCCGCCCGCGGTGCGGCGGGGCCGGGGCTCCGCGGCTGCGGGAGGGACGCCGGGGATGCCCGGCCTGGCCCGGCCCTGCCTCCCCTCAGCGATGGGCTCGGTCCCGCAGCCCCGCGGAACGGGAAGGGGCCGCGGAAAAGCGTCGGCCTCCGAACCGCATGGGGTGACAGCAGAGGAAATAAAAAAAACTTGCGACCAAAAATAAAAAATAAAAAAGCATTTGCGGGAGCCGACCCGCTCGACAGGAGGGGGATGTCTGCCTCTCCCTGCCGCGGCTCGGCAGTGCCCCAGTTTGTTTTCTTAGTGGCTCTTTGATGTCTTTTTTCAGCGTGTCGGATGCCCGGGTGAACTCTGCGTTCCCACACACACAAAGCCCACTGCGCGCCCCGGCCAACAGCAACACCCCCCCAAAGCAGATTTGGCATCATCGTGAGTGCTGGAATAAATTTGTCCACTGTTTGATAGGGTGCTGACGCGCTCACAGACAGCTCAGCAGAACAAGACTCTGGGGACATCCCCGAGTTCTCATAAACTCCGTGTCTGCACAGCAAAATGTTGCTTTGTCAGACACATAAATTCCAAACGTGGTAAGATTAGTCCAACTGATCCTAGTACAGATCAAAATCGTGAACAGCACAGGTAGATTGCTGTGGAAGTTTTTGAGCTAACAGCAACACGTCTTGTTTTTGGATAGGTCACCAGATATCCAGGGCAACTAATCACCAGCCTGACCATGCCTCTAGGCCAGCATTGAGCACTTTTATTTAAGGTCCAGCAATTTTGCTTTGTTTTGATAGGTAGTGAGAAAGTTTATTTAGAGGCCTCTTCTGAATAGTTTTCAGCCACGGTTTAGAAACTGTTCAGCCTCTAGACACCTTAACTCGTTCCCACAACCATCTCCAAAATTGTTGTCTTCAGTTTGAGACTCATCCCCCTATCTTGGCTTCCTCTGAATTGAAGTTTCTCCTGTCTGCCAGATGACTAACAGCATCATGTCTGATGAACACCAACAGTTCATTTATTACTTCTCTTAAAACTAGCTACAGTGAAAGTTTCCATAATTATTTGTTTCATCAACAGTGCATGCACACTTAACTACATTGTATTTCCTTCCCTGTAACAGTTTCTAACCACACAGGCAAAAGTCCAAGTACTTTGTTCTTTTTCTCCTTAGGGAATGCAACAATTATTCTGTCCTAAGACTGTGGGGCAACAGTCATATTGTTTGCTAGAGCAGTTGCCCTGACAGGAGGCCCAAGGAGTTTTGGTTTGATTATTGAAAGAAGCAGCATCTATGCTGTAGCAGAACTACTTGTCATACCCTGCCCTGATAGATCAAGATTTTTTTTTTTTTTTCACAGTGGCTACAATTTCTTCAATCACTGGAGACTGAAAAACTGTTTCTAAAATTACCCAGGCTTCTCAAACTTTCTGTGTGGCAGTGATTTCAGTGCCTGTGATAAAACGTTTAACAACTCTTACCATCTTTTTGCTTCTTTCCTCATACTGCATGCATCATATTCTCCTGCAAATTCTCCTTACTCTCACAGTTAAATAAAGTTGACTCTCTTGGTCACCTAAAAGAAAAGAAGTTCCAGCTTATTATCAAGAGCCATGAAATTGGGTTTTTTACAATAGCTGCATGTTACATGTGCTGCTGCTTTGGGGCTTCCAGATGTTCAGTACTGGAGAGGGCACCTGCTGGTTGAAGTGGAGATGGGAGAGCAATTCCTGCAGCCCCTGAATGCATGAGCATTGGAAACAGCTTCAGTCTTAGCACAGGTTCTTTGGTTTTATTCATTGTCAGGAAGCCCAAGCAATTTCCTAGCGTTGTTTTTAGCTTTTCAGCATAAACACGAGAGAGACATCTAGAAATTAGCATTAGCAATTTGTGTAGGAATGTAGCTGTGACTTGCACCTCCCTGGAGGCAGGGACCCCTTTGTAACATTCATTTTAAGTAGAAATGACACAGCATCCAGCCTCATATACAAGCAACCTTGAACTTCAGGGAGTTAAATTCTGCAGATATAACAAAGTCCCTATAACAGACAAAGCCCCAGTGATATATTTAACACTCTGTGAACCAGAATATGAATAAGCATACCATTTGTATCCACTCATGTTTCATTTTACAACTTGGGCACGATTTTATCTGCCTGCTTTGTCACAAGTAACTGCAAGATATTAAGGCATATGTTATTTGGATCACTGATTACACCATGATCCTGGTGTTCCCACCATGAGCTGAGGTTGGCTCTCAGGACAGTGCCATTTAATCCTCTACCTGGAGGCAAAACCGACAGTTCAGACAATGAATGTTGTCCCAACAGCTGAATGTGTCTTTGTGCATTTGTCAGGGATGGATACAAAGCTGCCAGCTGCTGCTGCCAGTAGAAACAGAAAGAGGAGGACTGTTGGGAATAACTGCTCTTTTGTGGGGACAGCAGTGGATCACATAAGAATGGTGTCTAAGGCATGTGTCTGGCACCCAGTTACCAGTGGGGCTGGAGTATATCAATTACTCCAAAGTAGTCTTTCAAAGGATGTTCATGTTTAAGTTGTGTATCCTTTAAAATTCTGCAGAGTGGTTCTTTAGAAGTAACTGTATAGTTAAATTTATAAAATCAATTTAGATGTCTTTTTAATATGCAAAGTTCAAAGATGAACCTAAATTTTGAAGAGAAAAATGTCTACTCCTGTCATGCAGCACCTCCATTTTGATTCACTAATATATTGCACTTGCTTTGCAAAACATGACAGAGATGATAAACCATAGGAACTAAGGGCACTGGTTCAGTCTTCAATAGGGCACTGGTCCAGATTCTCTCTCATCAATAGTTTATTTTCATATTTCAGCCAGAATGGATCTGTGAGGTCTCTGACCTCTGGCTCTTACAGAGCAAATTCCTGAGCTCCAGGTTCTGCTAAACCAAGTGGCTTAGAGCAGTCCTGGGCCCTGGTCCTGGCCTGGCTCTGTAAGATGCTTCCAGGCCTGTCTGAGTTGTCTTTGGGATACAGGCTTCTACTCTGCAGCAAATATAGAGACTGACCCAGTCCCACAGTTTAACCTGAGAAGAGATGGCAGGTACCAAAGGCAGCAGGATATTTTTTAACTCTGTGTTGAGAACATTGAAGAGTTGCTGATCTCTCAAAGTGACAATTCACAAGGCATGTCCTTTGTATGGTTCAGTTCAATACTTAAAGGCTGTATCAAGACTTGTTATCCTTTTAGTCTGGGCAGAATTCCTCACAACTTCTTTTCCTCAAAGTCTTTTTACATCTAGGTATGGCTGGCCCACCGTGTTTGCTTGCCTATGGGGAGATACATATTTTTATTGGCATTGCACCTACCCTTGACTTCCAGATGAGAGATAGTCCATGAGCAAGAACTGAGAACCTGTGACTTGTGCCTGTACTGGATCTCATATTGCAAACTGTCAAGAAAAGGTGTTCCTGTGGACAGAGACAGGAAGATTTGTGCTTCAGCATTCCAGAAGAATGGATTCTTGAAGGCTCCCCTGTCCTTTAAGGACATTTCAGACATCTGAGCATGTTATGGGTACCAACCCATTGCAACCTCCCACTTTTGGAATGGTTTCTTTACATTCAGTTCCTAACGCAAAGTGGAGTTCAAAGAGTAAAGGAAAATTAGCTTATTTTGCCACATCAGCCAGCCAAGCCTCCCCATGTTATCTGTTCAAAGATCCATAAGAAATAAACTGCACAGTTGTCATTCAGATCCAAAGCAAAGCCCCCCCTTAAAAAATAATTATCCTTTATCTCAATAGTCTTCCCAGAGAGGTCAAAGATTGGGCATGGAGCTGTAGCTCACTGCAGGGTGGCTGTAGTAGGTGACCTTTAAAGGTCCCTTCCAACACAAGCTATTCCATGATCCCATGAGACTTATCCCTATCTTTGGCTTTGCCAAGGTGAGACACATAGGAGAAAGGAAATGGTCAGTGTTGCACAGCTGCTGCCAGACATCACGTCACTGCTCCATAATTAGAACTTTACTACAGCAAGGATTCAACTGATTACATATGAAGAAGAAAGCATATGTCCTTGAAAATTGCAGCAAACAAACAAATTGCAACAAGTATCTTTTGGTTTGTCTGTTAGTTTCGAATTTTAAGTTTGGGATTTATTAGAAATGTAGGGTATTGATACTGTCTTTTAAGGTATCACCTTTGCCCTGTCGTGGTTTCAGGAGCTTTACATAACAACACATCTTCAAAGATCAAAACAAATACACAGTCTGAAACACTAAAAAGCCAGTTTCAGGGTTGTAAGATTCCAGTAAGCAGCATTGATGGGAATGCCGTTTTCACTTGCCATTCAGAGCAAAATAAAAACACATTCCAACAACCTCATGGTCCTAAATAATGATTGCTTCTTGTTTTCACAATATTGCAGTGTGATTATGCTTTGGTGTCCTTATTTTGTATAATAAATTATAAAAAAATGTAAATATCTTTCAAAGTTGTTTACACAAGACACTTCAAAGTGTGATACCAAGTTTAAAACATCCAGATGTAGAACAATATTTGTTGTGAAAATGTCTATGAGTCTTACTAAAAAAATCAACAAAGAATTTTTAAAACAGTTCACAGATGCAAAACACAAATAAAACCTTCAGGAATTTCATAGTATTTTGGGTGCTGTAGATACTCTGTCTGTTTATGCCTTCTATATTTCTCAAAAGTAATTACTGCCAATAGTAACGACTTTCTACAACTTACTACAATTTCCTGGTGTTTGCATCTGTGTTTATGCATTGGAGGAAGAACAAAAAACATTCTGGACTCTCTCCTTAATGCCATACCACAATACTTTGTGGCTGTCACCTCTGTTTTACCAATGTGTGTTTATCTCCAACACGTAGAAAATAAGTATCTTGAGCTCTCTGGGATAGTTGCCCCAGAGGAACATTCTTGCTATTATTGCAGCAGCTCCTGTAACAATATATTACATTAAACAAGCAACCTTTTAACACTTGCCAAAAACTGTATTCCTTTTATCCAATAGACTCAGAACTGAGAATGAAACCCCACAGCATCAGCAGCCATTTTGCTTTCTTGCTGTTAATTGTCAGGTCTTTCCTAAAACCCCTGAGGAATGATCTTACCTTGGTGGTTTTTGGCTGCATAGTCCTGAAGCACTACAGGCATTCAGGCTGCCTGGCCTTTTACTCAGAAAAGAAAGTGAGGTTGCCAGATAATCGTTCAGAGGGTAACACATCTAATCCTTGGGGAGGTCAAGTGAGGTGAGAAGAAAGGAGATGCATACTGCTAATGCTCTGACAGCTCTGTCAATATAAATTCATTAGTATGTATAGAAGTATTTTAGATTTCAAAAAGCAGAATAGTACCTCAGTTGTATTCATGAACTCAAGTCTCTCCTGAGTTTGCCTCAGGAAAAGCAGATGGATCTGGTGCAAAGTGTGTGTGAAATGCAGAATTTTTGGAAGTCCAAAATGCTTTCCACAGACAGCCTTTTAGATCTTGTCAGTATTAGTTCTGGTTTACTTTTTAATGAGAGTTGGTGGCATTTGACCCAACTAATTCTTAGGTGTGACCAATAGTGTGTTGAGTGAACAGAAAAATAGGGCAGGGGCCAGATCCTTAATGCTACATTGAAAATTTTTCTGTAGTTAGAAGAAAACACCAAACGTGGAACAAAAAACTTGTTGTTAGTCCAATGAGTATTTTAACTTCATCATTTTTCAAAATATTGGATAAATTTGGAAAAAAACCAATAGCCAACACCCTCATTAATAATGCATCTCTCTCTCTATATATATGTATCTCCAGTGTATACTTGTTTTGTAGAAAATGCTTTAGCACACAAAAGGGTCTGAGAGTACAATTATGTATTTTTTGTCTTAGAATATCCCCAGTACAATAACTGAAGGTTCGGCCTTCACAGTCCCAGTGATACAGAGCTGCACTTACAGGTGTGTAATCTGTTGCCATAGGTGATTGTATTGTATGCAATACAATTTTCTATAGGAAATTTTGTATGCCTTGGTGATTGACCTTTTCTTTTTGGAACAAAGACTCTACATTTCAACTCTCTACATTTCTATAAATACAGAAATCTTCATCTGAGACATATATATATATTTTTTTTTTGAGAACATCAATATTCATGGATTAGGAAGAACTAATCTTTCTTCACATAGGTTTTTTTTCCTTGCTTAGAGATAAATCCTTTAGGTTGGATCCTTTTTCTCTTATTAGAAAGGTTCATATCATGCTCATTTTTAAAATCAGCCATGGCTTTCAGTTAAAAGAAAAGTGGTATGACTTTCACTTTTTCTATATGTATGCAGCTTAACAAAATTATACAATAAAGAAAACTAAGTGATACACAGCTTCCAGTATGAATAGATTTGGAAAGATTTGCTTAAACTGTGTTATCTGTGAGAAATAACAGGAGCAAATATAATTAATAGTTATCTTAGTTGCCCAGGCACCCAGCACCTCCTTCAGTATGAGTTCCTGAGGATATACAGGATTCAGGATTATTAGCTGCATTTCTGTTTCCTGAGTATTTAATTTTGAAGTACATATTAATAAAACAACTACTTCATTACCACTTAGTATGAAAATTTGCTTCATAATATTAGATAACTTTTTTAGATAACAGGATTTTTTGCAACAAGCAGCTAAATGTTTATATTTTAATCCATATAGCAATCTTCACTGGAAATATATTAATTACAGTCATGTATTATATGGGTAAATTTTGGTTTTCCAAGTTAATGCATCCCAGTTCCATTAGAATAGTTTAGGTGCTGATGGCTCAGTTTCAGTTTTCCTCAGTTTCAAACACCCCTCCTTTCTGATGTCTCTGAGCCTTCTGTTTATCTCTCAAAATTCTCTTTGAATGTTGTTTTCCATTACCTAATTCTACTCAAAAGATGGTTAATATTGGTGGCCAATCTCATTTTAGCTAAGCAATCCCTGGGTACAGATTTCCTCTTGCTTGTACCATCAGCCCCTGCAACAGGGCATCATCACACATCATCACTGCTCACAGCAGTTCTGATTTCTCCTGCTTAAGCATGCACTTCTATGTTTCTTTCTGCATTATATTATCTTCTCAAGCAGCATCCAGGCTCTTTCTTCATTTTCCTTTTTCCCTGTAGTTCCACCAGTAGGGCACACCATCCCCAAGAGGGGAAGTTCACCTTGGTGCTTGTAAAGGTGGGACATAAGCCATTAATTGCCTTTTTCTTTATGCCAGTCTTCAGTTCTAGGTATGACTATTTCCTTACTGCAGTATTTCCTACTATTGCACATGTGCATGAACTGCTTTTCTGCCTCTTCTCACTTTGTCATCCCCCTATTGCCACCTCTACCAGAAAAGAATTTATGAGAGTGAATGCTGACAAAAAAGAGCAGTTTTTATAGCATCTGAGTCATGCACTCTGATGGACTTTTTGTTTTTCTTGCTTGCTATTATTTAGTGTCCCCTAGATCACTTCTTCCCTCATATGGGTTGCCATCTCTTTCTGTACTGTTCCAGTGTGTACAGGCCCTAAAACTAAATATGTTTCAGTGTCCAGGACATCCACTACAGGACTTAAAATACACCCTGGTCATAATTCAAGGCTTGCCTGTCTCTACCACATAAACTTCAAAGAGAGACTGACAGCTTTTTCTGGTCCTAATATGTCTCTGCTTTTTTTTGTCTTGTGATCCATCCCCAGATGATACAATCTTTCCAATTCTGTGTCTCTCTTTCAGACTCTAGAGTGTTGCATACCTGCTCATAGCTGGCAGTTGCTACTGCAGGAACAGCTGGATTGCAGCAATCTGCATCTCCAAGGCTTAGTCCCTGCTGAATGTGCCATTCCCCCAGCCAGACATTTCTTCTACTAAAGGAGAGGAAGACAGGTGTTTCTAGGAGCAGAGTGGGCATGTGTAGTAAGAGGTTGGATTGGGTTTTCTCCTTCCTTGATTTCCCTATCAATCTACCTGATTTTGTCCTTTACAGGTAAAGCCATAATAAAAACAGTCTGTACTCAGCTGGGTCATGAGAAAGGGACAGAGACAGAGATCTCGATGATCAGAGGCTTTTAAAGCAAGTGTAAGCAGATTTGGTGCTTCCATTTAGTATCCACCTATAGCTTGCTCATACTGCCATCTGTTTTCTCCTCTTTCTCTCAGATTTTCAACAAAGGTTCCCTGTCCCTCACAAAACCTGCTACTTGCCACGGCAAGGTTTGGCTGGGGTGAGTCACAGCCAGATCATAAATTGATGTAACTACTGTTTCTCTGCCTGCCTTGGATTGTTAGTGATCCTGAAGCACCTGGGTTGCCCAAATTTATTTTATTTTATAGTAAATGAGATAATTGCCAGAAAACAGGACTGCATTTTGTTCCCAGTCTTCTATGATGACTTTAGGCTTCCTCCTACAAAAGTTTTTTCAGAGGCTTGGTTGTTCAGCAACCCAACTAGAAGGATTCACAGTTTGTTACACTGAAAATCTTCTTTGCTACACCATATACACACTGATAAGAATTTACTGTTAGTCCAGTAAATATTCTAGCAGTATAATTTTTTTGATTAATGCAGAAAAGCCTTACTTTTGTGATGTTCTGGTCACCTTTCCAGTTCCTTCTAAGTCCTGAGCTTGGCAGTCTTCCTGACGCAGACAGAGATGGGACTTTGTAAGTCATCAGCCCTTGAGACCTACACAAGAAAAACAGTGATGTTTAGGTTGAGGGATTCTAATTCCTCAGCTTTGGGTAAGTTTGCTTTTATTTTTAAACCTTACAACATCTGCTTTCCTCTTACCTATTCCAAGCTACTTTGAACATTGTACAATATCTTTACTCCTGGGCTCTCAGATTTCTGCCATCCTCTGCAATTTTATTCCTCTATCACTCAACCATTTACTTTACTATAACCAGTAGTTTCAGCAATATGAAGCTGTAATTCCTTAGTGGAGAATCCAGGAGATAGGTTAGAGACAGGTTGATTTTTCAAAATCACAGCAGTTTGGCTGAAGTGCACCGTCAGCAGAGCTGTATAAAACTGGAGGTCATTGCATTGTTAAGTTCAAATTTGTCATTGAGCTTCTCAGGAAAAGCATCTATAAATGGAAGACATCATGAATGTTTATGCTGTTCAAAGGCCTGTTTTACAGCAATTCAGTAATTTGTTAATACAGAATATAAAAAAACTTAAGCCCAATGTCTCTTCCAATTTATTCTGCTTTTGTAATATTTACCAAATTTATGTTAAAATCCCAACAGATCTTATGAAAAACCTTATATCCATGGCTTCTGGGCCCATGAGCAAATCAGATCATTGTGCACTAGTCCTACATTAGCCAACTGTTGATAAATATGCTGTAGAAATACTTAAATATTCAAAATGCTATGTCCTGGTAAAAAATTACAAATATTTTTATGTCTTCCTTTATTCCAGTTCTTTATTCCTCAAAGAATTTGAAACACGAATAATTGTGTTGGGATAAATGAGAACACACAGACCTGTAGTTATTCTGAGTCTGTGGAACCCATCTGCCATTTGCTTTGTGCTATCACAGAAACTCATACCACAGTGTTCCAGGCAAAATTATCATTACAGATTTATATTGTTATAGGCTGTTATATATCTTACTATAGATTTATCATAATATATTGTTATATATTATATACTATATGATTTTTATATACATTATTATATTTTGTTATAGGTATATATTTTTGCTTTAATAACAACCTTCTATAAATTTAACATTTTTTTAATTAGTGGTACAGTTCACTGCCTTTGGTCAGTTAGGTTGATAGCAGGGAAGTAGTAGACATAAAAATACTCTCTATTAAGAAGAGTATACTATAAAGCAGGAATATTTTCAGAAGTCTTTCATGCTTTACCCTCTTTAAAGCTTAATCTCATAAACCACAGAGTCCTCTCCTGACATGTCTCTTGGTTTCTTGGTTGTCATTATCTGTTTTTTTTTTTTTACTGTCTATAGTTAAGGAATTAACTTGTGCAAATAAAGAGGTTTCTTCATTCGTAAGATAACTGTCCACACTGTTAGAATTATTTTTTCTTCCTTCTGCTGTTTCAGCTGCACACAGTGAAAATACTGAATTACTCTTTAAATTAATGAATTATCTGTTGCTTCTTGACCTAAGCACTCCTGCAGCTGTCTCCCCAGCAACTCCTGTGGTGCCATCTGATTCAACACGTGCACAAGGAACATTGCAAAGGGAGCTGAGTCATTCTCTAAATCTGGAACATCATCCTCAGAACACAAAACCTTCCCCTGCAGGACTAATGGGCAAGTATTAACTGTGTCATTCTGCATAGGATGTTTTAGCTTCTCTTACTTTAAATTACTAGTGTGTCTTACTGAAAAGCACATAATTTAGCTGTATCCACCAAAATTTTCTTTGTGACATTTGTGTTGCAAAGTGCCAAATACTTATGTTCTTACTTCTGTGTTCCATTTCCTTTTCTTGTAATTAATTGTCATTTCAGAATAAACTCATCTTCACTGATTGTTTTTAGTACATACATGTAATTTCTGTGAACTGTGACTACTTTGCTGTCATTCAGAAGCCCATGAGTCTCAAGGAACATAACCTTCTGCACAATCAAACTATTAGTCCAGTCAGAACATTGAAAGATGCTCACTGTGAATATCAATCTGACTCAAGTCATGTGATATACCTAACATTTAACAGGGCTGATGAACGAGGACATGTATTAGACACCCTAAAAGTGAGGAAAAAGCAAGATCAACTGTTTATGTCTTATTATTTTCTTAGCTCTATAAAATATCATACACATTCTTTGCATTTTTAAAATGAAGGACTTGTGTCCATCTTTTCTCTGTGCTTGCCAGAAATGTGTGCTCTGGTATGTTGCAACCACTCTAGCACTACTACAAGTGATTAATACTAGGATTTTTTTCATGTTTATGTCCAAGTTGCTGGGTTACTTGCAGCTCTGAATAAGATTTACATGAAGACTTGTGAAGAGCTCTGTATAGGAGTTGTATTACATTGCTCAAAATAAGGCTTTTCAGCTGACTCCTTCAGTATAATTCTTTTTGTGTTTTAGGAATTTTCATGCTAGTTCTGTTTTTGTAAATATTGCCTTTATTAAATTTGTAATATCCCAAAGTAATACTTTTTGCTTTAGGTTTATTTTCTTGATTTATGTGCTAGCAAATTTGTCTTCTCCCTCTCCCTTGTCTAGTTCTTTTTTGATTTAACACTGATTTTTTTCCCTTTGTTTTACAGTAAGTCATTGACATCCCTGAGAAATTTCAAATTAACATGGAAGAAAATTGAACAGCATATCAATGGATGAGATAGGCATGATGGTTTCTCCATGATGTCATTGCATGTTGATGAAGGCACAGCACTATGAAATATGAGATGCAAATGCCATCAAAATACTACCCTGGTTTTGTAAGGAGCTGCACAAGGAGCCATTCCTTTTCTGCAAAAGGAAGGCTTGATTATTTATAACTGTAAAAACAAAAACAGAAAAATAAATGTTTCCCCTTTTCTTAACTTCCTTTCTATTCCACGACGTATAGATATTCCTATTAATTTTAAAAAGGCAAACTATCACCTCTTGTCTCTGTTTTTCGTAAATCTAGAAATATTTTGCAAATTTAATTTAAAACAGTCAAATGTCTTGCCCTGTTTTTTTCATTTTTAGAATAAACTGAAATGTTTCACCTTTTGGTGTCTGTCCTGCTTGTTCACATGATTTCATTTTTATATCAGGGTTCAGTTTTTCATAAACATCAAGACCTTTTTCAATACTGAGTAACTGTGGTGGGTTCTGTTGTATTGCTGTACTAAATTAAATTAATTTTATAACCTATTCAATACTCAGAAACATGGAAACAAGTTTTTCTCTGAGTTTAAATCAGGTACACTATGCCTTTAAGGTTAATATGTTTTACATAGTGCTTTGCATATTAACTGAAGGAGGTTTGATTAGTTTTATTCTTTTCATTCCTTTAAAAAAGTCTTTTGCATTGTGTATTATCTCTATTAGTAAAAAGTATAAAATCTTCTCTGATAACTTTTCATTATCTAAGAGACGATTCAACAAAGCCTTTAATTTCTTTTGTCTTACATTATAAACCAGGATAGTTAAGGGAAAAAAAATCTTTCAAGAACATGGTATCTGCTTGTAAATATAATACTGTCATTCATCATTGGAGATAACACGCAGGGGTTATAGCTGTGTGAGCTATTTAAAAATCAAAAGCAGCACACTCAGAGTGGAGCCATGTTTGAAGGAGCAGTACATAAAAGTTACCCCTCAAGAACATATCGTTCTGAAGGGTAACCAAATATAATTATTTCATGTGGTGCCACATAATTGAGAGGACTTGGAATTCCCCCTCTTGTAGCACTTCTGATCTGTCTCTTAAGTTTGACAGGGTAAGGTTAAATCTCCTTCTGTCACGGGTTGGGAAGCACTTCTGGTGTTAAGAATAGCTCATTAAAGGGGGATGGAATGCCTCATGTACATATTAATTACCATAACACTCAGTGAATGTGTCTTTGCTGGCAGAATGACGTACCGTGCTGCTCTATCAATGAAAACTGAGTTTCTTGTTGGTTAAAACTAGGTCAAGTGAAATAAAAACATGGGAAATGGAGCAAGATTTTTTTAAAATATACATTCCTGTTCTAAATTAGTCAGCACCTATTTCTTTTTAGAGAGAATTTGAATTGAACGTAGAACCATGATAATCTGGGACTAGAGTTTATATCTGGAAAATTGAGTGCCTTTAACTGAGTTTCAACTGAGTTTCCATGATATTCCTGTTACCTGTGGATACTTAGCACACTGCCACAGCCAGACATTTTGACATGGCTATTCAAATACCATTCTGAGTGATTTTTCTGTAAGGCTATGATTATCAAGACCCAAAAGGAACATTAAATTATTGAGCATGTCCTTCAATTTGACTTAATATTCCCAGAAATGTTTCTAAGCATTCACTGCCTGTCAGAGAGCAATGCCTTAATATCCAGTAGCACTGTCTCCCATGGGATCAGAGCAGTTGCTGGACCTTGCCTCTGCCTAATCTCCTCATTGCAGACTGAGTGACAGGGCTCTGCCCACATATTACTGTAGCAGAACTCCCCTGAGACGCCCTCCTTTGAACCTGAGGAGCCTACAGCAACCCAGATTCTTTATTTCTGAATATAAATCTCCTTCTCATGAGTGTATCCCTTTAATGTCTGGCTTTCAGTACATTTGATTCTTCCTACTTTGAGTGTCCTACAGCTAGCAGGTTTTGATGAGCCCCAAAGAGGCACCTCTCTGTTTCTAACCTTATTAACAAAGGGTGATTTGCCTCTGTGTGACAATTCTCTCTGGGTGCCACACCACTGTGCAGGGACTTGTGATCTCTCTAAGAATTGTTTTACAGAAGAAAGCAAAATGTTTCTCTTTCTGTCGCTTGGTGGAGAGTTTATCCACTGCAAGACATGCAGGAAACCATCCTGCCAACAGTATGCCAAGAGCCACGGGTGCCCTGCTCAGCAACCACTGTGTTTGTCACTGCTGCTCTGGAGATGCAGCCCCCTGGCTGGGTTTGCCCTGAGTTTGGATTGTAAAACTTCAAACTGGAAAGCAAGGCTGTAAACTGGAGAAAGGCAATCTAAGTTATTCCTCAGTTACAATTCCACCACTTATTTTTTCGTAACTCTTGGTGTATTCTTGGAAATATTGCAAATCACAGCCTGAGTCCCTGCTTCCTTAATAAATTTCAAAATTCACCATGAAAATAGTAAGGAGATGAAATGAGATCTCTATAACATTCCTGAAGCAGTTATTCCCCCAAGTTCTAGTCAAGTCAGAGGCACTTACCCTGCTGGTTAGCTTTCACTCAACATACGGAGGGATCAAGTAACTCCTTTATTAGTAGAGAAACCTTAGCCTAGGGTTAACTACTGCATCAACTTAACATGATTATTTGTAACAGGATGATTCTTTGTAGTATTAGAGATAGCAAAAATAATTTTTTGTAGGACCTCGTTCTTTAGCCATCCCAGGCAGCCATCTTATGTTCCTCTCTTCTCAAAGAAACAGCTGTGGGATAAAGGGGGCAGTCTGAGGCCTCAGGAGATTTCTCAAAGCCCAGCTCACAGATAAGACAGTTTACTGTAATTCATTTCCTAATCTACTTCATACTGCTCTACCACATTATTCATTATTCTCACCCACAGGGCTTATTTTTATTTCAGCCTACCATACCAAAAGGCAAGTTACAGACCTTATTTAATCCTGAAGAGCGGGGATGTTAATTGGGTTGAAAATGGTAATGATGCATCTAATTCTGTCTTATCTGCACTGCTCATCCTGCTCTCAGGACACCTGAGTGCTCCTGCATCCCAGAACAGAGCCTTGAACACGTATTTTTCTGTGTTACACCCAGCTTCTCCCTTGACCCATTATCAATGGTACATTACTCAGTGACTCAAATATGAATCCCACAATATTTCCTCTCATTCTGTTTCTAAGTAAGAGCAGGTACATGTTCAAAACATTTTTTTATGTATATTGCCTCAGCTAAAGCATAATTAGCTTCATGAAAAGGAAGCAGGTTAACCAGCCCCACCTTAGCTGAAACCACTGTCACCTTTACATTTCAGACTTTTATTTGGTGTTTCAGCCATTTCAATTACCAGCCAAGGAGGGGTTTAAGTCCACAGTATAATAATACTTGCAATTACTGGTAAATAGCATTTCACAGCACTAACCAGTCTGTCCTTACTACATCCATTTCAGGCAGGCAAATAAATGTTATTATCCTCATTTTACAAACACATTGATTAAGTGACTTACCTAAAGGCCACACATCAATTTCAATGTCAGTGCCAAGATTAGCACAGAGGAACTTCTGCATTGCAGACACAGAAAAAAGTGACTGCTATTATCAAGCCCACCCCCCTTCAGAAACAAACAATCATTTTTCAGCTGTATGTTCAGTCAAATGGCATTTACCCTCCTCACATCCTCCACATGTTATGCCCACCTCAAGCTTCTCCCTGACGATGGCTCAAAATGGCTCCTAAATATGTCTTTAACATGGGAAGCTCTTCTATCTGCCTCCTGCTTTTAACACAAGGGTTGGAAAGCACTGCCTGGAGAACCTGTGAAGCTCCCACAGTGGTGGCTGAGCCTATGGAGGCACAAGGCAAGGGAAAGGGAAAGGGACAAAGGGCCCTTGCTGTTCTCCAAAAGGCAATGTGATATGATAAGAGGAAGCAGCAGGAGAAGGATTAGATAGAAATTAGGATGATCTTTTACAGTCTCATTTTAAGAGATTTTTTCCTGTCCAAAAAGCAAATTCTCAATTTTAAGGTTGTGTACAACAGATACAATTCTCTTTTGTACTGCTGTTGTAGCTGCTGTTTGGAAATTGTGGTAATTGCATTGGTAACACTGGAAGCTGAGTCTTCAGCTCTAAAACACAGCAGCATCTCTAGTCCTCAGTCTGCTGAGCTATTGGGAAAATTGGTCTATTTTAAAGCCCCTTCTTTTGAATTTGGAAGGAGTTTTGGA